CCTCCTCACTTCCCTAGTGCCGATTCAAAAGCACATAAACTCTGCTCCACATGGAGATGCTTATTTTTGCCTAATCTCGGTTACATGTTATATTTTTTGACTGGGCCACATCTTGATTTATCTCTTCCAAGTATCCAACTAAAAGAATTCAAATAACAGATAAAAAAATCAACAAGTATGCGGGAGGTTCCCTCACAACCCTGCCAGGCTCGTTTGTCGGCGGTACACACCGAGGTGGCGAGACCTCACCAACCGCCGCCATTGGCCCAAAGCTCGAGCTTTCCTTGCCTTCTCCCTCCATCCCTTGCTCGAACGCCAGCCAAGCTCTGCTCCGGTGAGCCCTTTGGTCAGAGCCACGTTGTTGCTCGCCTGCTCCTCCTCCTCACTTCCCTAGTGCCGATTCAAAAGCACATAAACTCTGCTCCATGTTCATACTTGTATCCTCTTCTCTTCCCCGGAGCCACAAGCATCCTGCTCCTCCTCTTCACTCCCCTCTCTTTTCTTTCTTGAGTTCTCCTTTTTTTTATGGTGCAGCGATATACCACCATACCAAGACCCACATCTTACCCTCGTTTGTTTATTCTTGAGGCTGCTTGTTTTCTCATTCAAGTTGGGCGTATATAAATGGATGGTCTTTGATGAAAAGAGGCGATGTGGGACAAAAGGAAAATCATGGGTTTGAACTCCCTAACCATTGTCAGCTATTTTATAGGCTCCCGAATCAACTCAACGGAAAAAACATCGTAGCCCAACTCGGTCCGCGGCTACGCGCACCTCGCTGCAGCCCAGGCACGTCCCTCATCCCCAAATAAGATATGGCTCATTTAAATTCAAACCTTCCTTTTAATCAAAGTTTGCCAATAGTTCTCATGGCTAGCCCAGCCAACTCACATCTAGGAGACCAAGGTTCGAGTTCAACGTCTGCAATAAAAAAAAATTCATCTTGTTTTACAGAACGTATTTTTCTTTTTACGGGATGGCATTGGTGGGATGGGCTGGTTCGTGTGTTCGCTGCAGCCTGGGCGGACGTACACGCCGGCTGATGGCCCATAAAAATAAAAGTGAACAATCGTGAGCTTGTACAGGAAAATAATACCACCTCGGACAAACCATATGAAACAAACTGAAAGTGTAAAATCATCGAAAAAAAGCGTATTGTGACGGTGAACCCGGAGACCCAATCCGTGCTTTATTATTAGGGAGAGATTAGGGAAAAATATTTTGTTGTTCTGTATGCAATCCCATCGCACAACACACACGTCATATTAGCAGCAACCGTTTGTGTTATTATCAGTTTTCGCACACATTCTGATTACAGACCTGTTTGCCGCGTATCACACACATCTTGTTATATTGAACCGTTTATGTTCTCTTGTCTCAACACAAATAGTTCATCCAAGTGAACCGCATGTTGTATAGCGCACGCACCTTGATCTGGCTGACCGTTTCTTTTGTGTTGGCTAATCACAAACAGTTCATCCTAGTGAACCGTATGCTGTGTATCGCACACGCCTTCATCTGGCTGTCCGTTTCTTTTGTTACTACTCATCGCAAATAGTTATTTGAACTGAATCATATGCCCTGCATCGCACACGCAACTAAAATCTGAACCGTGTTTGATGCATCCATCATCCCAAATATTTTGCACCTTTTTTGACGGTTTTTTACACCACCATTTGCGATTAATGCATCGCACACAGTTTCGTCAAAGGATCTCTAATCATAGTGTCGCGTTAGCAGCATCCTGCAGTAGTGATTGAGATCCACTGAACCTTCCAGCCTAAATTATAGCATACCGACCAAGAATAAGCCTAGACTATACAATAAAGAAATTACGGCATATTACATCCACTGGGAATCAAAGTTCGCCACCGGTGATAATAAAGCGCAACATGAATGTGGATTACATACACTCGGCATCAAAGGTCACCACCATGGCATATAAACACACCGACAAAATAATATACAAAACTGAGAGCACTTCAGAAGGCATTAGGCCTGGCCGGGACGGGCACCACAAGCAGCCGAACAGGCTGATGAGACGCTAGTTGTGTCAACGATAGATGCTTCATTCCTAGTTGTATAGCACCAAAGCGTGCAAGGCAGTCCTCTG